AACCTTCCCACTCACTTTACCAGATAGAAACACACACACACACACACACACACACACACAAACCTGTGGGACTTTGTAGGCTCCTACTAATGTTGACATCTGGATGGAAGTTTCCCTCTTAGCTCCATCAACAACAGCCAAAAGGTTTTCCTTCCTTCCACAGCTGTAGTTGGGAACATTGGCTTGTCCAGTAGAGAGTATGTCCAGCAAGGCTTCTGAAGTGCCAAGGGTGCTGACATAGTTGTCATGCAGGTTGTAGCCAAGTGTGAGATTGGGCAGGAGCTGAGGATTCTTGTTGATGGTTTGAATGGCAAAAGCCAGGATTAGTAGTTTAAAATAAAGTCCTGCACTGTAAAAAAAAATGTTTGTGTTGTTACCATAATTAACCAAAACAACAAAATTATTATTTTTTCAATGTAATCCTTTTTGTTTCTATACATCTACTGTGTCTTAAGCCAACAGCACAGATCCAAAGCCAAAGCCAAATAACAGCCACCCATCAGCATCTAATTTTTATGAGCATTGGCAGATAGTCTTCCACCATGGTTAAGAATCACAAATACATCGTTATTTCTACGTTCTAACTTTCATCTCCCCAGAAACCTGTATTCAAAAATATTCAATTATTAATGTAGAACCACAATGAAATGAAGATCATGTTTCATAAGTGACCCAGAAAAGGAACTGTAAAAAGAAATAATCGTTTATTCCTCTAAGAATCAGGCATTGAATATCAAGGAGTAGTTATTTCAATATGGAAATAGGCTGGACAGAGGCATCCCACAGCCCTCTCAATCACTACTTTCAATGGACCTCAGTATCCCAGTGATGAACATACTATTTGAAGGAAAAGCATAAAGAATCTGGACTTGTTTCAGGTTTTATTTTCCACATGTTTGAATTCAAGTCTATTCTACAAAGAATGACAAAGTAAGAAGCCATGAAAATCAAAACTCCTGCAATATAGGAGTAAGTGAAATAAAGAGTATTAGAAGTGCAAATGGAAGTAATGCAATTACATCACACTGAATAACTTACGAGCGAGACTGACTAGAAGGAGCCATGTTGAAAGGCAACTTCCTAGGTAAGGATGTGGTTTCAGTTGAGACTGTAGCAATGAGATGGTCTCCTGGTCTGTAATAGTTCCATGGTTTTTTCTCATCCTGGATCTCAAAATTCAGTGAGCATGTCTTTCTAACCTTCACAGAAACTGCCTGAAACACCAACAGCATCAGAAGCAAAAAATCCATAATTTACAAGGCTGAATTAATCTCAAAGAACAGGAAGAATTAGAAGAATTGAAAGCATCCACACTTTTCTGATTCAGACAGAGACAAACCAATCTTCACCTAAACAGTAGAGAAAGGTACATTCAAGAGCACAATCTCTCTTGCCCTAAAACCTCTGCCGCAATGAGACTGATCTGTGGCATTTATCCTTTTCTGATGAAAGATCCCTTTCTTGTTGCTTCAGTCTGATGTTAACATCAGTCACTGTAGGAGAAGATGTCTCAAAGTCTGAGATGGTGATAATTACATTGAGAAATAATTTCTCCTCTGGGGATCCTGAATTCTTCCAAGACTCCATGTGCAGAGGGTCAGCAAGAGAATGGCACATAAGAAATAGCACATGGAGAAAAATCACAAATACACCCCTGAGGGTATTGTGGTCCCTACTGTCAAGACATGTTCAGAAAGTGATGCTGGAGGAAAATCATTCAACACCAGATAATTGAATTCCGCTGTCCATCATGGTGTCTTTTCTTCATAGACTGCTGAGGAAGGTCACCTAGAGCTGTGGAGTTTGGTTACAGTCTATGTTGATGACACAAAACTAGTCCTGTCTGTTTTCTAATTCAAATATCTTTGAACCCTCCCTAATGTTAAGAGTAGAGACTTTTTGTGATTTTATTTTCTATTAGATCTCCATTTTTCAAACTTAAATTGGAGCTGATTTTAAATTTATTTCTGCCTGAAGTGAAATTTCATTTCCTATCAGTTCTAGAAATGTCAATTGTTGGATAAGAGCCAACTATCTGGCAGAAAATTGACAACCTATGTATATAGGGATAAAGTCATAGAGTGGATAGAAGCTTTTCTTTTTCTTTCTTGACACTCTGTGTTTTCCTCCCACATTGATGTAAGCCCCTAAGTATCTTTACATTTTGAAGTTATTTATTTATCAAATGAAGGCTGAGCTTGTGAGGTCTGCAACTGAGATGGTGGCAGTGTCCATAGCATGGTGGGTGATATCATCTGATTTATTGCTGTACCCACTCAGAAACTTGTTTGGGGGAATCTGGTGGTCCCCCTTCATTTTATATGGACACATTTGGTAGAGCGGGGCACCTTTGGCCTTCCCATCTCTGAGGTTGTCTGCAAAACCTCTACAAATTTTGCCAAATGATTGGTAGATGTTATTGGGAATCCTTATATTTCTGAGTGTATCTAGTTAGGAGGATAAAATTTCTTATCTGGGGGGGGGGTATTGATATGTACATCTTGGCCTGTAAATGTTAACTTGAAGTTTGAATGAAGGATGGGAGCTGAAGGAATAGGTTGGACCATCCTGATAGAGACACATAGAAGTTGGCCATAATTTGTGACATCTGATCTGCTACTCAAAGAGTGTGGTCCTAGGCGTCTAATCTCAGTGCCTGGATACCAGATCCTTGATGGCTCTGGGTTTTCAATGTTACTTTGGAATGTCAGGATGATGCATAGTGGATCTCATCCCTGATGTTAGCTGCCATATCTTACTAAAACTGAAGGGAGTCTGAGTGAAGACATGTTAGAGATCATGTTGGGGATTACCTCATGGTGATAAAGGGTGGATGTGTTTCCCCACCTTCACTAGGTCTTTTGAAAGCTAAGCAACAGCCATATTTAGGGTGACCTGGTCCTTATAGGTTAGTGTTCTGACCCCCCTCTGTCCAGTGATTAATGCCGAGACAGACTTACTGTTAGCCACGCTTTATTTACGGTAATTACAATCCTGTTGGCTGAAAGCCCAACACGGCTCACTGGCAAGGTGTTGGCAGCAACCCAGACTCCCACAGAAAAGAGATACAATACACACAAGAGCTTCTCCAGCTTGTTATGAACGGTTGTGTCCTGCAAAAGGGCTCCTCCCAAAGTCTCTTCTTATATACTCTCTTTGAAGGAGCCAGACCTCAACTACCTGGGTTTGATTATCTCTTATGAGTCTGTCTCTGCAATTGCTGCCTCCATTTCTCTGCCCTTCGTTGCCTGGCGTCAGTGACAAACTCCCTTTGATCTTCACCA